ATGGACCATAATGAGCTTATATCAAAAAGATAGGCAGATTTGGAATTCTTGTCAAACTGACTTTCCAATGACACCAATTGTGTTAAAATGAACCCTGTAGGTCTTGAGATAAAAGAGAGTAAAATTAGACACAGCCAATTTTGCCAAAAATCTGAAAACTTTGGGGTCGTATCTCTGGAACTGGTCCAACTGACCTAAAGTTGGACATACTGTGCCTAGGGATCACAATGGACAAATGTGCTATTTTTAATCAAAAATCTGAAATAGCTCGATTTGATTTGATTTATTGATTCAACAGGAAAAGATTACTAAAAATCAAGCCTGACTCAGCATAATTGCTGTTTTACAGCAGGTTCCTGTTCTGCAGCACATAAAACACTCAGAAATACAGCATCACAATCACATCATTATACACCATAGACACAAAGACAAACAAGCATACCAAATTTCAGGAAGGCAGCATTTGCAAAATAGGACGTCTAAATATGAGCACAACAAAAAGTGTCCAGCAGATGGCAGACAAGATCTTAAAGGGCTGCAGTTTTAAAATGGCCTTCATGTTTTGAGGACTGTCATTCCATGCTTTAGTATAAACATAGAAGAAAGATCTCTGGCTGTGACAGTTTTTAAAAGTTAGTAATGTCAGTTGTCCTTTTGTAATAGATCTAGCTGAATGACCACTTCCAGAATTTGATTTGGGCAACAATGCACAGAGAGTTCCATAATTGGCACCTTGGAAGCTTAAATAAAAATAGCTTAAAACTCTACATAAAAACAAGAATTTAAATTTTAAAAATTGTTAAACAGAATAAACTTTCCTTCAAAACCACATTAAATTGTTATAGATTTAATATTATGATATCGTAAACAGTGTTGTATAAAGTACCACAAAGTAATACTTGAGTAATAGTACAAGTATATTGTCAAAAAATTACTCTGGCAAAAGTTAAAGTCTTCTTTAGGAATCCTACGTGAGTAAAAGTCTTAAAGTATCTGATTTTTTTAACTTAAGTATTAAAAGTAAAACTATTGATTTAAAATGTGCAGTTAGATTTTCTGTAATGACATTTATTGGGAGATGACCTCCCCCAAGAAATGACTGTTGTATTAAAATAATTACTTTATGTTAAATTTAGGATGCACTGGTCTAGCTGTTTCAGTTTATATACATATATCAACGGGGCCCAAACCTTTTCTCCAAAATGAAAATCTATCTGAGGGCTGCAGCCAAATGCAATAATATAATTCATGAAATACAAATACTTCTTATGTACAGTCCTTTTATTTGAATGATTATGTCCTGCTGGAGTGTAACATGATTTGTTGTGTACAAAGTTAATACGGTATCCATTTATACTTCTCATTCAACCACAATTATATTCACTCTATCTAGGAGGCACAATTTATATGGATAGTATTTATTTTTTTACAATAACAAGCTGGAATGAAAACAAGCAAAAATGAAATAAAAGTAACAACTTTCTACGTCTTTCCTTTTTTTAAAAAATGTAAGGAGTAGAAGTAAAAAGTAGGCTGAAAAATAATTACTCAACTAAAGTTTAAATGTATGAGTAACAAGACTGGACAGCTTCTGATCCAGCTGTAGTGTGTTCCAGCTGGACGGACCAGAGCAGGTGAACCTTTTCTTACCCAGCTCTGTGGACTGCTGTCGGTGATGAAAGCCTGAGAACGAAGGTTATGATGGTGCTCTTTACAAGTCATGTAACTATACAAGTATGATGGAACCAGGTAGAGAATAGATTTGAAAATAAACGTGTATCACTGTAAACGTCTACAGGTGTGTAACGATGATCATTTAACCAGAGGATATAAAGTACAATGAGTGAGAGGTTTACTGCCTGTGATGAATCTCAATGCTCTGTGGTTCACAGTGTCAAACAGGCATAAAGAACTGACAGAGGCATTCACATTATCTATAGGAGGCAAGAAGAGTCAAGAAAGTGGCGGCCAAAGCCATTTGCTCGTGAGCATGAAATGAGAAACAAGACTTATGATGAAAGAAGAATTCCAATTTCCTCTGTAGATTGTAAATGTGGGACTTAAAGGTTAGGTCTATATCAGTTGTTATTCTGAAATATTTACATGATACAACAAAGACAATCAACATTCCCTGTGTAGTGGTAATAGTAGAGAGGGAAAACAACATTTTTTCTGTTGGAAAATTACAGAATATATGGTGTATATTATTTACATGTATATTGAAAACAGTCTGCAGTCTACTTGACCTGTTTCATATGGCAAATTTATTCCCTTAAGTTTAGACAATTCCCCAACAATTTATTGGCTGTTAAATACACACATTTTGTTTCTGCTGTAGCAGCTTCTGTATGTTTTCAGTTATTGAATCTTACAGTTTCATGCAGCTGCTGCTTGTCTGTGAGCCTGCACTTGTGTAGTTCATTTGCCATAATTTTATGATGTGTTCAGTTTTTTCCTTTGTTTCCTAATGATGTAAGGAGTGCCAAGGTTATATGTAAGTACGCACTGTGCAGACTCTCATAAACATGCAGATGTCGATTTAACCACATTGTACATTTTGGTAGAGGACAGAACAATTGAGGTCGAACTAATATGAAACCTTAATGTGATTATTAAGTCAGAAATGTTGTGTTTTTGCACTAAAGTTTCCCAAATAAAGCACTGGGATATTTAAGAACACTTCACATATCTGATTAGTATGCTGCTGTAGCAATCTCCACTCCTTTAGAAACACTTTTACATAACTTTGCAACCTAGCTCCAGAGATATGATCCAATTTAGCTCAAAGAGCAAAACATGGTTTGGCATTGCTGCACATGATGTTAGACCAGACAACTAAAAACTGGAAAGAGCTTTTTAATATTGAAAATTCAAATCAAACATAGTCATGAAAACAAAAGAGGAAACTGTTAAAACTCTTTTTAAAGCTACTATGTTTTATTTCAGAACCACGATTTTATTTTAAGGCAATTATTTTAATTTTCTACAGAATCAGTTGCGCTTTCTCTTGCATGTAATTTTGTGAAAAACAAAACATCTGAAAGAAAGAACTGGTTATAATTAAAGTGCACCACAAGTCGATCTGAGTTGAAGTCTGTGGCACTATTTGCTTACACAAACATCAACCACAGAACCTTTACAAAATGAAGATAAAATCTGCAATTACAAAATAACAAACTGCTGGACTTAACCGTCGATAGTGCAGATTTGAAAAAGGAGGATGTCATATTTTTGTAAATTAATTTTGCCCTAACACATAATCTTAAAGGTATGGTTGGACTTTAGAGCTATTTACATAATCTGCTTTGAATGAGGATTTATATTTTTTTAAAGTCCGATACGCCTTAAACCCCATTTTCTCTTTTTTTAATCTTGTTAAAAGCTCAAGGATAGATGTATTTAGCCATTGATTTTCAGACGAGTTTTACCTAGTTTGTTCTTGAAGGAGTTGTTCCCTTTTCTCTTTGAACTGAAGCAAAGGCATGCTGTCACTACAGAGAAGATTAACAAAGTCAGGCAAGTTAAAAATCTAATAGAGAGAAACATCCATTACTGATTGGGCCTTCGGCTGAGCCAAGAAAAGGCCATTAAGGAAAGCATGAACTCAGCTCCCCGATGAAAACATTTATGAGACGAACTCACTAATGGGTCAAGAGAGAGGACTGTTTTCATCGCTCAACTTAATTGGCATCTTTGAATCTGTTGCTTAAAGAACAGAAACAATCAGTCAATGCTATTGATTGCTCTCTGTGAAGTGAGCGCAGAAGGGAAATGCGGTGGATTTTAAAGCTCAGAAATGCAATTAACATCATGGTGATGAAGTCCCCAGATTAATTTGAGTCAAAGCAAAGGCTACATGAAGTTGCTTGTCTTTTATGTCTCACAAAAAAGTCTCACCTATTCATACATTTCACAAAATATGCATTGAGAAATCATTAAAGTCTTTAAAACTCTGTGACAAGACTCAGTTTTCTGAAAGTGGTGCCCTCGGATCTTTAATGAGTTCTGTGCAAAATGTGTCAGGAACCTGTTTCATCCTTGTTTTCCATCCCCAGGGTAGTCACTAGATGTGTGAGTCCACTGCAGTTATTATCTCCAAATACTGGACCCTTAAGTCCCAGTAATTGTTTATTATCAGCTCCTTTTTATAATGGTCGAGAGTCATTGGTGGTGAACATGCGGCAAATGGAGGAGACGATAAGCAGAGTGATTGCTGTTCATCACCGACTGCATCCAGTGCAAAGGTGCAGCGCGCTCAATAACACTAATTCTACATGAATTTTAAGGGGTATTGACTCGTGTGGACTCACAAGGGGCTGCGAATTTGCAGTCTAAGGAAAAGGGGCAGAGAGCTAAAGACAGAAGTTAGCCAGGGAGGGTGAGGACAGTCAAAGGACACAGCTAAGTAACTTTTTAAACACCCATTTTATCAAACACAGCATGCCCCSTCGAGTCTGACGCTTATCTGTCCTACAAATGTCATTTCTGGTGGTCTATCCACACACGTAGTACACTCTAAAAATGAAATGTTGGATTTACTTTACCATGTTATGTTACCTGGTTCCACTTAACTGAGTTGAGTAAACTCAAAGCAACATACTCATGTTCTTTGGCTAAAAAACAGGTATATTGCTTTGAATTTACTCAACTCAGTTAAGTGGAACCAGGTAACATAACATGGTTAAGTAAATCCAACATTTCATTTTTACAGTGTATTTAAAGCCATAGTCAAACAATAGATACATAAATTGGCCACTGACTTTCATGTCAGAGTTGTAGAATAGGAAAATGAGTTGAAATGATGAAATAATAGGTATTTTAGTCAAACCTTAAAAATTATTGTTTTTCAAGAATATTCCTTTTGACGCTATTCACTCTGATGATGCTCCTAACTATGCAGATTATGGTGTTCTCAAATCAACCCTTCATGAAATTTGTGTGATTCTACATCATTATTTCCTCTAAAGTGTTTCCTAAACATTTTCACGTCTTTTCTCTAGCTGCAGAGGCTGAAGCGCTCCCTGTCCCTCAAGTCGGTCATACGCAGCAAGAGTGTGGAGAACTTTTTCCAGCGCAGCAATGGTGAAACTCGACCAGCCTTTATCAGCGCACCCCCACCCCCACCTTCTCCTCCCCCCTTCTCTGAAAGCCCCCTGGGCTACGAGCGCTCTCCGTCCATTTCTCCATCCATGAGTTCCAACCCGTCGTTGTCGTCGCACTCCCCCACCGTCAGTCCTTCACTGTCCAGGACCTTAAAGACCCAACCAAAGTCTCAGACCCAGCCGGTCAGGACCCACTGTTTTCAGGAACATGTCTTCCGGAGGCCTGCGAGCTGCCAGCGATGCAAACTTATGATCCAAGGTAGGCCAAACGTTAACCACACCTTCCATCTTTTAGAGGAGATAAAAGTGTTTCAGGTGTTAAAAAGAAATGAAAAATGAACTGGTTGCATAAAAAGCAGTCAGCATAACTTTCTACAATCTTTATCACTACTTTGTATTGATTCTTACCAGTACTTTTTGGCTTAACAATCTTGTTTTTTTTTTGTTTTTGTTTGTGTTTTTGGATTTATTTATTTATTTATTTATTTATTTATTTATTTATTTATTTATTTATTTGTGTGTCAATGCAGGGAACTCCAAACAGGGTCTGCGTTGTAAATCCTGTAAACTGGCAACCCACCTTTGGTGCTCCTCAGAGCTCTCTCAGCAGACCTGCAATGGCAAGGTAGGAGTTTCAGTGACACCACCTGCATATTCAGTTTTAAAGATATGCTCAAGGTATTTTTGCATTGAAAAGAAACAATGTCACGTTACTAAAGATTAGTATAAAGCATAGAACTGGTCAGGTTGGTTTTGTACTCATTAATAATATTAACTTCAGTGTGCCCCAGATGCTGCTTCTCAGCTTATCAAAAAAAGGAAAGGGCACATAATTAATTACATTTCTATACTCGGTGTAATTGTTTCTGAATTGTACTGGGAACACGGATGTTCCTCTGAGGAATGAAACCATTTCAGAATGCACTGTGTCAGCAGAATGAAACGGTATCTGCAGGCTGCGAGTGTCTTTGAGTCATTTGGCGGAGCATTTAGTCCTGGTAGTGTGCCTAGCCTGAAAACCTCTGGCATGCTGAAAGATGATGAAACCCTTTTTAAATGAGCAGGCAGAAAAAAATGTACAGGTTAAAATTGGAACATGGACATGCCACAAAAACAGGAAGTGTAAAACAATCTCCCTGCCATAAATCCCATAACAGAGGGGGAAAAAGCTGACGTTAATGAATTTATTTATTTTGCCATTATTTCCTTCGTCTCTTCTCACGCGATGCTCCCGTCTCGTCCGCTTTCTTGTCTGGGTGCTCCGTTTCCTTCCTTCCCCTTTAAACTCAGTAGGAAAATCAATATCTCTCTGTACCAGCTGGTCTGCCTAATTCAGTGTGAAATTCACTGTGTTTGAGGCGGACAAAATCCCTCGAGGATGTGACTCGGCAGGCTCTCGCCAAGTTGTCGGCAGTGTCCTTTTCCGTCACTGCGTGCTCATCAAGGCATGGATTAGGCATTTTTCTGAAACTGGAAGGAATTTGAACAGTGTTAGATCTGCACTGACACAACCTCAAATAACACTTCTGAGCAAAAACAGATTAATTTCAAATATTATTATTTTATTTTATTATCATATCATTAAATTTAATGAAGTGTAAAAACAAGTTTATTGTTAAAATGTCGAGAATGGTTTGGTTTTACAATAGAAATGTCAACCGTGCTCTTGGGAGGACTTGCRGCGAGACAGAGACTTTTTGTTACACGAAGCTGAGAAAAGAGTCCTGAAGGAACAGACTAACTTAGTGTAATTAATCGTAAAATTATGAGCACTAACACTGTTCAGTATATGTAGTCAGTAATACAAAACAGTGGAGGACTCTACTCGGCATTTTTCTTTTACAAGCGTTTCAAAATCTGTTTTAAGCATTAAGAAGAAGAAACCCTTGTCTTTATCATTATAGATTTTTATTAACAGTTTAATATAATCCATCAAAACAAACACAAATATGGGGAAGCAAATGTTGCTAAACTATTAATGGCTTCACTTGGCTTGTTTCCCCACCCATTTGCAAAGTGCACTAATATATTTATAACCAATTACTTCAGAAAATGTCCAGAATAAAGCAGGTTTAAAGGACTTTGGACTCCTGACAATTATTTGGTAATCAATGCTGATTAAACCTAAAGACACATTATATAGGAGCTGGGTGTGCTGAGCTCTGCACAAAGTAATTGCCAGTACAGGAAAGCTTCACACACACACGCATTCACACACCCACAAGTTTGCACAGCTATCTAATTGGGGACATTCCATTGACTTTCATTACATTTCTACAGCCTAACCCTGACCACAAACCCTACGGCTAACCTCACAGGTACCTTCCTGACCCTAAAACTAACCTAAACTCAAGTCACACCTTGGTCCTAAACCGACACGTGGGGACCGGGCATTGGTCCTCACGTGGATGTCTTTTTCTGGAAAATGGTCCCCATGATGTAGCAAAAACATGCCCACACACGCATTCATTTTATGCCCCTGTTTGTGTGAGTTTCTGCTGTATTAGAGATCAGAAATCCAGTGAGGCCGTACAGTTTTTGATATTCTGTCATTCATGATGTTTGGATTCTCAGTGGGAAAGAAGAGCGTAGATCAGTGATGTCGGAGGAATGATCTATTTCTCCCCAGGACGGAGTCTGTTCAATTTGTTTTTGAATGGGTTTGTAAATGGTGCTTCCTGCGCAGCCCTTTGTGACAAAAACATTAAAACAAGGACGATGAATGCATTATTCAGAAAAAGCATCAAGGACGCCAGGGGCCTCATTTACAACCTCTGCATGGGCAGAAAATGGGACCCAAAAGATGCAATTTAGGCCATTCTGAATAAAACAGCATGTCCTTGACAATTCAGAACTTTTAGTTTAGTTTGGTTTTTTTTTTTCTTTTCCTGGTAATATTTTTATTTTGAAGCTGACTCAGTTTGAAAGCGAGCAACTCAAAACAGCAAACTATGAATTTTATGTCCTCAAGGAAAAGACATGGTTTCTCCTTTAAGTGTGTTTCAACATTAATAAGCTTGTTTTAGTCTTGAAATAAAGAAACATTTCTTTATTTCCTGCACACACTTGCTCATTTTYCATACTAGGATGAAAAAGATCAACATCTTTATAAAAAGAGACACTTTTTTCCAGCATGTCACCTAACTTTATTTATATCATAACTTTTATGTATTAATAGACAGGAGAAGATAATGACAAATAAAGCTGAGTATCTAATATTAGAAACTTTTGTTTTTTGCAGAAAAAAGCACATTCAGGACAGCCTCAAAAACAGGTCTTTTATCTAACTGAAGCTAAACATATTGCTCCTGCTAAAAAAAAAAAAAAGATATCAAAGACATACTGATCCGTTCTGCACTGGCTGATCATCAGTGAGGATCTATGTGGATCAAGGAGACGTAAAAACAATTCAGTCCTACTTTTTATTTAGAAACAATCTCCCTGATAAATTCTTATTAAAACCAGTGTATAACTGCGGAACAAATGCATTAATTCAGTGATAAATTAAATTTGGTTACGTAACCTTCGTACAGTATATCAAGATAGAAAAGCACTTAAAAGGGATTCATTTTGGCTCTTAAGTGCCCACACTGTTTGCTTGTATTCATCAGGTGATTAGAGGTGGACTGTTGTCAGGTTAATGTTTAGTTTCAAAAGGTTAGGATGGTGGGGGGTGATGCGTCACAAAAGCTTTTTCATTCATCTTGAGTGCTTTTCCAGTTCCTACTGTCCTTAAACCAAAAAGCTCAGATGGAAAATTGGCACAGCAGTTATCTGCTTTTATTGTCAGGAAAGAATAAAATAGTTGGAGCAGGWGTGTGTCTCCAACAAATGTGGTGCCATTTAGTTTTTTATACTGTATAGATATATACATTATATCATATATATGCAAGTCACTGTTGAAGTTACTACAAACTTGTGACTTTTTGCTCTTAATAACTAACTTTTTCCAATAAATTTCAATTGAAAAGAAACCTTCTTCTTTTCTAAGCTTTTATTGTGAAAGACGTGTCTGTGCAACCAAATGAAGTGATACTAATGGTGGTTCTGAACAAATTAATTAGCTTCATTGAAGCATAATAATTAGACAATCTGACAAATGCTTAATCCTGTACAACAAAGTGTTCGAAACGGCACGATAATTCAATTTAAATTTAAATACTTCCTCTCTAGGAGCTTCGCTTCACATAAAGAGCCTTTAGCTCTTTTGGATCTTGACGCGTTTTTAATTGCTCAGGTTTCATGTAGACCTGCTGTTCCTAAACACAGCCACAGAGGTATTGTGTTACTCGTACAGTGTCTATTTTTATCTCTCTACCTCCTCAAGTAACATTCGCATTTTCTTCCTGCGTCTCATCCGATCCATCAGGCAGGAGCTTTTAAGAAAAACTTCAGCTCTCCTCTGCTGACCATTGATCCACTGGGTGCAGTGAGAGAAGCTCCTGCTGCTCAGGGTGAGTTTGATCCAACACAGCAGCGAGCAGTCAGTGTCAGAACTGATCCCTGCACCTGAAGCTCTCAGTTCATGATGCCACAGCTCTGCTTCAACTTTAAAGTGACACATTTTCAATCATATTGTTTGCCCTCAGAGACAGAAAATGTCATCGTTGACCCCGTGTACCAGGCGCTGCGCTACGGGACGTCACTGGCTCAGATGAGCCGCTCCAGCTTCGGAAGCATCTCTGAATCCCCCTGTCATGAGGTATCAAAAACAAAGCCCACCCCCAGTCATGCACTGCAGTTCAAACTGACATGATCATAAAATCTCATTGAATTTAACATCTTTATTCAAGGCAGAAAAACTGCAAGACAAACTAGAAAACCAGCCTATCGCAGAAGAGGAACAGATTCCAGGAAGTAAGCCTGATTATTTACCTTTATGAGTATAAATCTTGTTTTTCTTTGGCAGATTTCTAGAATAATTATTAAGTAATAATAAGTATTAATAATTGCTATATCAGAAGTTAAGTTCATTTGACATTATATTCTGTTTTTGTAACTTTTATACTTTTAAAAATTAGCATTTTTATTTACAATAATGAGGAACACMTTCAGTTCTTGAAAATCTTTGTTCTTTTTGAAATCTTCTTAAGCAAAATGGTTTCAATTTTTTCATTTAAATTGTGCTTTGATCATTTTTAAACTGTTCTGCAAATTTTAGATTTTAGCTGTTGTTTTGGGGATGGGATAATAGCTTTAGTTACTGTTTTGCTAATGCAAGCTTTTAGCTACTGTTTTACTTGTCATAGTGATTAGGTACTGTTTTGTTCTTTTTACCTTTTAGCTATTGAGCAAACTTGAACTTGAACTATAGTTTGTTGCTGGTCTTAGCTTTTAGCTTGTTTTGCTCATTTTAGCTTTTGGCTATTGTTCTGCAAATGATAGTTTTAGCTACTGTTTCACTAGAACAAGCTTGTAGCTACTGTTTTACTTGTCATAGTGACAAAATACTGTTATGCTCTTTTTACCTTTTAGCTATTGTGCAAACTTGCTGTTAGCTTTTAGGTGTTGTTTTGCTGTTTTTAGTTTTTATCTCCAATTTTGCTTCAGTATTTGACTGCAGTTGTGCTCATTTTAAATTAGTTTTAACTACTTGCAAGTTTACATTTATTTATGCATTCTTGGCTAAGGCAAAGCTAAAGACCTGCACTAACGTAATATTCTGCACAATTTAAAGATGTGTGCGTGTTTATGTGCGTTTGTGTGTATGTGTGTGTGTGTGTGTGTGTGTGTGTGTGTGT